CACTCATGTCACGAGCTGGGGGGGTCTCAGCAGGTGCTGATGGTGTCACTCATGTCACAAGCTGGGGGGGTCTCAGCAGGTGCTGATGGTGTCACCTGTGTCACGATCCAGGGAGGGTCTCAGGAAGTGCTGATGAGGACGGTGCCACCCATGTGATGAGCTGTGGGGTCTCAAGAGGCTCCAGTGGTGACAGTGTCACCTGTGTCACAAGCCCTGGGGTCTCAGCAGGTGCTGACGGTGTCACCCGTGCAACAGACTGGGGGGGTCTCAGCAGGTTCCAATGGTGACGGTGTCACCCATGTCATGAGCTGGGGGGGTCTCAGCAGGTGCCCATGGTCACAGTGTCACCCATGTGACGAGCTGCAGCGTCTCAACAGGTTCCAATGCTGACCGGGTCACACATGTCACGAGCCGGGCGGTCTCAGAGGGCGCCGACAGTCACAGTGTCACACGTGTCACACATGTCACGAGCTGGGGGGGGGTCTCAGCCGCTGCCGACGGCGACTGGGCCCCTCGCGTGACGAGCTGGGCACCTATAGGGACACGGACACGTTACCCCCCGCCTCGCCCTATAGGCACCCCCAGCCACATGTCCGACACCCCCCATCCCCTATAGCCCCCCCCCACTCCTTCTGTGCCCCCATACTCCCCTGCCTATAGCCTCATACCCCCTATAGTGCCCATAGCACCCTGCCCCCCTTGTCCCCTATACTCTTCTATACCCCCAGCCCATCTACAGCTCCCTTCAGCCCCCATAGCCCCCTATAGCACCCCATGCCTTCTATAGCACCTTAGATAGCCCCATATGCTCTGTAACGACCACAGCCCCTGTACATCCACCCCTCCGGTGTCCCCTATGGCTCCCCTATAGCCCCCTATAGCCCTTCCACCCCCACGTGCCCTGTGGTGCCCTATAGAGCGCCAAACCCCCATAGCCGCTGTGGCCCCGCCCCCTTCGTGTCCCCTATACCCCCATAGTCCCGCCATTAGCCGCTATAGCCCCCACGTCCCCTACAGCGCCCATAAGGCCCCGCGCCCTCTGCGGCCGCCACAGCCCCGGCCCCGGGGCTCCTATGGCCCCCTCCACCCCCCCCATAGCCTCCTTGTACCCTTCCTATAGTCCCTCTATACACCCCGATAGCCCCCATACACCCCCGTACCGCGGCCGTTGCCCCGGCAACCGCGCACAGCCCTGCGGCCTCCGTACCCCCTCCCTCCCGGCCCCCCGGACGTTACTTCCGCCCCGCGGCTCCCCCTCGTGGCGGGAGCGTGGGGTGCGCGACGGGCGCCGCCATGACGCCGCTGGGGGCCGCCATGATGGCTGCGGGCGCCGCCATGACAGTCGTGGGCGCTTCGGCACCGCGGCGGGCGCCGCCATGATGGCGGGAGGCGCCATGATGGAGGCGGCGCGGGACCCTGGGGGCGCCTCGGTGCCGGTGGCGGTGCCGGTGGGGCCCGGGCCCAGCCTGCCCGGCGTCCTGCACTTCATCCAGCAGGAGTGGGGCCGCTTCGAGGCCGAGCGGAGCCGCTGGGAGGCGGAGCGCGCCGAGCTCCAGGTGACGGCGGCGCCGACGG